CTATGGGCCGCACCTAATCCCACATCTATGTTGAATAAACTTTCGACTGAAAAATGCAACGAAAAAGCTTCGTGTGGGCAGATGAAAAATCGAAAAGAAAATGCACTCAGATCAATGCAGTGTAGTTAGTGAACCTCTGCTGTTATAAGCTGTATATTACACATTTTGTGTAGACTATTTAGCGACAAAGAAAAATAACATCTAACAATTCTGATTTAGGAAATAAATCAATTACATCTCCACTGGAATTCTCATCTCTGCTTCATTGTCCGTAATGATTTTCTGCTTTTATTATGTCTTCTTCAATGTTTTGAAGAGCAGCGAAGAATATAAATCTCTCTAGCAAAAGTTCTTGGTTTATGAACGAATCCATGATCAACTTGATGTGATATCACTTACATCGTTAATTGAACATGCTAGTGAAGACGGTGTTGCATTAGAAGACTGGTGAGGAGTCGGATGCGAAAATGTTAGCTGAGATTCTGGATCAGTATCTATTCTCAATCGTTGATGATTCTGGAAAAGATTTGGTGTAATTGCTTCGGGTATATGCCGCATTCGTTCGTTTACCTTCATGAAGCGGCTTAGTGCCGAAATGCATTGGCAAGTGTAGCAACCAATCCAGTGCACTTCATTATATGATACAGAAAGTGCGGTGCAATGAATGAGAATGGTTACCGAGTAATCTTCGCATTAATAAATCCAATGAGGGTTTTTTTTCAAGCTGTATGATTTCGGACAACTAAAACTGTTGGGAAGAATTCAAAAACTCGTTGAAACATGAAAGACTGGAAGCGCACAATATACGACGGGCTGAAATCCGTCATTCTCTCATCATCATATAGCGTTTCTTACTTTCCAATGTTCGCATGTATTTGATGTGAAACAAAATTTCTCCAAACGACTTCTGCTCACCAAACAAAGCGGATTTCATTACTGTTTACAGAAAAGTTAAATCGTCTAACGGAAGGTAGACTAAACATGAAGCTCACAAACGTTTAAAATACAACGCGTAGTGATACCACAAGCATAAGTTTTCCGAAAACAGAGTTGTTAGAGGACGTCAGTGGAGATGTGGCTTGCTGAATATATTACTCTGCATATATAAACATACATATAACTAATAATAGTTATTCATTTATTCACTTACATAAATACACAAATGCAAACGAACAAAAAGCACAAAACACCTGCATCGACACACACACACACACACACACACACACACACACACACATTGACACGGGCAAACTGCGTATGTGCGTGCAGTGCATATGTTCGTCTCAGTCGTAAGGTAATGATCCCTTGCATCTCTGTTTCAATTCTACTATAATTGATTAAATTTACTTCCATCCTTTGCGTTGTTCTCTTTCTGATTAACGATCGGAAGAAGCATAGCTGGTGTAAATGTCCCGCCCTAGGCAACATTCATCACTGATTACTTGACACTTAATATTTGATTGGCCCGTCCTCACTGGTTGTGCCGGCCCAAGCATAATCTCTATTTTATTTGCTAGTTAAGCCATTGTGATTCCCTGGAATCCCGATATCAGTTTGGCCAAAATCAGCCCGAGGTCTTCACCACCACATGCTGTCGCCGCCATTGTGGATTAGAGGAAGATTTGCGACAATGGCCCCTTGATACCAGGGTGGTAGTGGATCCTGGCACTGGTTTACATTTAGGCAGGCTTGCTGACAGAAACGCCGACTCCTTCTCAGCTTGGGAGACCCTACCACGGGATGGATCCCTCGTTGTACATAGCAGCCCGACACCCAGGAGCACCTCCCAGCCACGATGAGACTGTAAGCCGTTGCGAGGTACCGCTGATTGAGAATTCAACAAGGAAAGTACATCCTCTCGGAAATCGATCTCCACAATCGATCTCAAATTGCTTCCCAAAATGTCGGAAAAATCGGATTCGAAATATATTAATATATATTAATATATTAAATATATATTAATATATTAATATAATAATAAATAATAATATATAATATAATATAATATAATATAATATAATATAATATAATTAATATATTAATATAATATATTAATATATTTCTTTTCGAAATATCTACTCAGTTAAAATGTTGTAACTAAAAAACTAAAATTTCATTTTGTTGTTGTCACCAACAGTTAGGCCCACATATATTCTGGGAAAGCACGACGGGCTTTCCTTGGAAATACTATGTACCTTGAGAAGGGTTTAACAAGATACCCGTGGCCACTCTTTATCAAAAGGATCAGAAAGAAAATGTCTCCTTATTTCAGAAGAGCTTGCGTTTAGATTTAATACGCATAAAATCTTACTCTGCCAGGTTGTCAGGAGTTCATAAGCATAGCAGAGAAATCTGATTTCATTGTGGAGTATTTTCAAATGACATTCAGTATAATGCTTCGCTCCAATAATTCGAATTAAGGAAACTACACTGTGTAACTCGTACTAAGAATGCCGCTATTTTCCTAACCGATTCATGTCGGTATCAAAGAATATTTTGGGACACAAATTCGAAATGTAATGTCGTTAAAGTTCTGTCTTTTGGACAATGTTTGGCAAGATCCTCTGTAACAAATCCTAGGACCGAGCTTCTACTAACGTCGGCGTTGGCCAACGGTTCACTAATTTCTTGATGAGTAGAAACTAAGTCATTATCACACTACTTATTCAGAATAGCTGACATTGTAACGTTTTCGTATTTTTCAAAATCTGGAAAGGTCAAATTGACACCGAATTTACTCAGTTAAACTCTGTTATAAACTCATCAGATGAAACCTAATAGCATATAAACGTCATAAGTCTTCCAGTTATTGTTGGGAACCAACCACACAAAGTCTGAAATAGGCAAGTAGTAGTTTTGGTTCAAACCAAAGATCAGCCTGAGGTATAGCAATAGGCTACCCGTGAACACACGGCACTCCTCTCTGGGCTTCATCTTCGGATTTCTGGAATTAATCCAAAGTGCCTCAAGAGTTTTTGAGCTGACGACTTGGATTTCGGTGAAGGACAGTGACATTTACTCCAAAACCTTTCCACTCTATGTTTCTGTTCTATGCGTTCCTACTGAAGTGTTCTGTTTGACTTTATGTTTCCCAACTATGTGCTCCTTTGTACGGTTGCGTAGTGGTCTACCCGTTTTTTGAGAGTATCTGTCACCAAATGCTTTATAAGAGGCTGGATATATCGCACCCGAACTCATACGATCACAGTCTCAACCGTCAAGGCAAATTATATAATTGTGCAATGTCCAACTCTTTATGTACGCGTGTGGTGCAGTGGTCGGAGAAGCCCTGCAATACACATGGAACCGATCCCGCGTCTCTGCCCTATCAAGCCTTCTATCTCTCCGGGGTTGACAAACTGGTATATGACTTGGCTGAGAGGATAGTAGCATTGGCTCGATACATCGGTAGGCCACCACGAGTCATTGCAAAGGCCAAATTTGCGTCGAACCACCTTTAATGATGCTTAATGAAGTCGAATGCATGGCGCATCCCTAAGGGATTGATCAGCGCCAAAAGCTTTTATAGAGCTCTAACTTTTTATTCACTTTTTGTCTTTTTATAGAATGGTATTGTATAAAAAAATTACAATGGTGCTGAGATATTTGCAAAGCTGGAGACTTCGGGCAGGCTTCGTAATCGCGATCACCTTTTCCGGAGCCTCACATGCTACCCACTGCACCGCCGAGGCTCTTGCCTTGTCTTTTTTATCCTTTTTTTTACCCTAATGGTGCCATCAGCAATCAACCGCCAACGAGAATGGTCTGGTGTGCACAAATGAACATTGAACCCAGTTAAGATGAGGCTGCATTCGTAATCACAATGTTGAACTGGCTGAGAGAAAGGCATAGCAAGGTCCTCGGTGGTGCAGTATGCAACTGTGCATTTTCCACCGACGATCATACAAACGGTTATGAACTAGCTGGTGTGCTAAGTGCTCGGTGCCATTTAAATTACTATTATCGATTTCCTCAAAACAGTTTACCGCCTCATCGTGGCTTGGAGGTGTTCCTGGGTGCCAGAGTGCCATGTACAGCGGTGGATTCATCCCTTGGCAGGGTCTCCCAAGCTAAGAAGAAGTCCGGCGTTTCCATCAGGAAGCCTAGCTAGAAGTAAACCAACACCAGAGTCCACCACCGTTTTGATATCAAAATGGCATGGTGACAAATCTTTCTCTGATCCACAAAGGCTGCGGCTGCTTGTGGTGATGAAGGTCTGGTGCAGAATTTGACCAGGCTGACTTATGGATTCCAGGAAACTATAACGGCTTAACCAGCAAATCTTCGAAAAATGGAAATTTTTCTGGGGCCCGCAAAACCAGTGAGGACGGGTAATTCAAGTATCAAGTAAGTATTATCAATTTCTCTAAAACCACCCTTCTTAAGACACGTATTATGGAGAGAACCGTAGGATAGTCACGTGATCACACTGAGCTCAGGTCATATCTCAAGATAATTTTTTGAGATCAACCAAGAACACTGCTCACCCATGTGAAACTTTTTGTTTATTTGCTGAAGGTATAAATACTTTGACTGAGCATAATGTCTATTAATTTGATCTTCTTAGGCTCTGGAAAAGGCGAAACCACTGAAACGTCGTCTATTGAAAATGAACAGTGTGATAACAACGTCATGTTTGCTTATCAAGAAAACAGGGATTAAAGCTCCTCTACCTTGCTTTTGCAGCATTCCCTATACATTGACAAAGATTGATTTTACATGCATGAAGGCAAGGCATGCGGTAGTATATGGAAGTGGTGTTTAGGAAACTGCTGTTAACATGTGGAATTTCAAAGAGCTTTCCCAATGCCCTTTGAGCACTCACATTATATTCATCGGTCGATAAGCAGTGCTGCGATAAGAGGAGGTACTGTGGGCTAGGATGCAACAGTTCCTGATCTAGCAAGGCAACAGTTTCATCTGCGCCTGCCAACTGCTGTTTGATTGAGCTTAACATGACTGGACCATTGCACCTTGGTTCATGATGTGTTGAGAGGTGGTTAAAACAGTTTTTCTTGACCAGCAGTGGATCCACTATTTTTGGCATGTGGAACGTAGCCTGAAATGGAAATGGTGTCCCTTAAAACATGATGACATTTTAAAACTGTGAAGTGGAGACGTACGTAATGTTCCATCAACCTGGAGTCAATAGAACCTTCCCTAGCGTGTAGCATCGCTGGACCCCAATCTATTATTACCTGCAATTTTTGCTTGGCTAGAAGAAAGATATGCGAAAAGATAGGACCTACAAGGTTTTACAGCGTCCACAGACGTCTTAACAAGCAAGAAGGAACTCTTGCAGTGCTCACAAAGCTCTCAACAAGAAAGGAAAAACCAACTTTACCACACAGGACGAGTCCCACCACCATCGTCGTTGGGCCAGCAAGCCACACCTGAAATTGTTCACTGTCCAAGCTCATAGAAATTAAGTAAATCTTACTGTAATCAATTGTTTAAAACGAAAATAATAACGCCGAAGGATAGACTCATCTTACGAGGAAACAAGCTTAAAAAATCTGAGTACGACGAAATCAAAGGTTAATTCAAAATGCTAGTATTAGGACATCAAAACGCAAAGCTATTTTCTTCCCATTATTTCACTTCTTGCCCAAGAGTTTTCCTTCCAAACCTTTTTTCCGAGTTAAAGTCACTAACATTGCTTCCTACTGCAGGCAAGTCGTATTTTACAAAACATTTCCAGAAAAATCATCTGAGTGGAAGACCCATTCATCGACATATAGCGCTTACCATTCATGAGGTACAATGCATTTAACGCAACAGAAATGGCCACTTTCAATTTTGGGCCAGCAAATTTGAGCTCGTATTAATGCAAGTAGCTGAAATAACAAGCATTAGAATCTGTAGATCTTTGCCTTCAAAATGGGAGGTATCTTATTCTATCAAAATGAAACTTTTTTTCGTGATTTTCTGGACTTATGGCGTATATTTCGAACAAGAAAGCAGTTGAACAATTGGGGTTTCGCCCAGCAAAACACGATACTTTTCCTCAACGTATCACTTGTGCTGCGTTTGCGTTAAAAATTTTAGAAAACACTAGTTCTAAGCTTTTGAAAATCCTAGTTCTAGTTAAATTGACAACTACTATGTGTGACTACACCCGTTGTTAGACAAAATTGCCCGTTCATATCAAACGGCATCGAACGTATCCTAATGTCAAAAGGATGCACCATACGTCAATGGTAGAATAAGTGAGAACGGGCTCCTTTCATTTTTTTTCTTTCAGTAGCGCATTGTCAATAACCAGAGTGTCTTAGAAGAAGTAAGATTAGATTTGATAGACCTTATTGTTGAAACGAATGAAACGAAAATTTAAGACTGGTAACAAAAAAATCACCTTTCCTATTTGAGAATCCTTCTGGAAGATCGCGAACACAGTAAACACTAGTCCTGTTGCAATAAGGCCAAAGGAAACACATCCGTAACTGAAATTTGCTTTGCTTAATAACTTCACGAAATGCATTTCACATTGCAGTTGCAAAACCAGCAGTGTAGATATAGTTTCGATGTATTTATTATGGAAAATATTCACAATAGTCTGCAGGCAACGTCGGATTCATTGGGAAATCGACGTTAGGTTAGTAATGAAGTGGACTCTGGAGTTATCAATGTGGATTAGTAGTTTCACAAATTTGGGTAATCATATCTTATAACCCTGAGGTCGGTACGTGTTTAAGTTCATTATTTACTGTGGTCAAAGTGGCGAACAGCATAGCGGTAGTAATGCATGCCATACGAGCATAATGATGCTTTGATTCAGCTCAGGGCCAACCAAGCCTCTCATCCCTCTGGTGTTGGGGAATTGGTAGCGGACTTGTCTGGGAAAAATCACTTTCCGAGATCCAATTAGGAACGCTCCAACTCGGCTATATCAGGATTCCAAGGAGATTTGTTCGACCAGCATTTTACGACATTCGAGATGAAATGAAAATCCTCAAGCAGCAACTGAAGCCACTCGTAAAGCTAGAAGATATTCGTCGACAATTGATGCGAGGAAACGAATCGAATGTGAGAAGTACTGGGATCCGCACAGTAGACATGAAGGCGGGTGAAATAAAGCAGTAGATAAAAATGAGGAAAATACTATGGTAGTAAAATGAATAACAGGAACTAACGATTAAGACAATTTACGAACCCAATAAAGAATTTACTTGTTGTATTGTCCAGGATTCGTCGAATAGCAGAAGAAATCGTTGCTATCGTAAAAATGGGATTCCAGGGAAAACTTTTGAATGCACTCAACATTTCGATGAATGCGGAAGAAGGCAGATCCAGTTAAGAAGGCATTGCATTGCACACATTGGAATTCTGTAACTATAACCAGCTCCACTCGATAATTCGAGTAACGCTGTTGCATATTTGGGCCTTTTACGTGGGTTGCGCTAACAGAAAGTGATACTACTTGTAGACAATGTCGACTAATTGTCAGCATATACATATTTGCTAGCATTACATTTTCAACGAAAATTTCTATTGTTAAGTGCGATTAGTGACCCAATTTTGAGTGATTTGTATCGTCTGTCAGCATGTTTGGAAAAAATAAAAAGGATAAAGCCCTCGGCGTTGATCGATCCCTGAAGGGATGCGCCATGCATTCGACTTCATTAAGCATCGTTTGGAGGTGATTGGATGCATATCGGACCTTTACAATGACTCGCGGTGGTCTACCGATGCATCGAGCCAATTATGCTATCCTCCCAGACAAGTCTGGTACCAATTTGCCGACCCCGAGTGAATGGAAGGCTAGATCAGCTATGGGCGCTTGGGTCGATTCCATGTGTGTGTTGCAGGACGCCTCCGACCATTGCGCCACATGTGCCCTCTTGTTTGGAATACAATTCAACAATTCGTTCAGACTGGATTCTTGCAGAAATTTTAACAGATGTAAATTGTGTATGTTTCATAGCTGGCGAAAGGTAACTTAGTGTTTCAACTTTAAATAAACTTGTCTGTTTCCATGAAGATGGGTAGCAGTTGGAAGATGAATCGGAATAGACAGACATTTACAGACAAAATGGCAAGTATTTTTTGTTTTCTGTTTCGTGAAGATGAAATTCTCATTTTCTGGGGCAAGTGAATCGTTTTTTCAACCACACTTGCATTACAAACGGCGAAGCGATTGAACAACCGGGATTTAATGTATTGGGACACGATGGCAATGCCGAATGAGTTGAGAAAGAGAGCGATTACTGCACTTATGCTAGGAATTTAACGTTTTGGCGTCGAAATATTCTATCAATTTTGTTCCAAAAAAAGACATATAGAAAAACACATATATCTAAGGCTCAGATTTTCTCTATACAACTGTCAAGTCCTCAGTTTTCCATATCCGCAATAATCGAGAAACCGGCCTAGTTGCAGATGTCTCAATTCTTCTAAAATTATCAACAAAGCAAACACAAAGAATTATCACGGGATAGATTGCTAGTATTAATAAACTTTCTTGTACTTGATGCTATAAGACGACGATTACGGCCCAGTTATCGTGTTAGTAGTGTGTCCTTAAATCGCCAAATTGCAGCAAGCTTTTCTTTTCTATTGTTGTTTGTCTCGTTGCCTGGTCATAAATTTTGACGCCATTGGACTCGGAGGGATAAAACTAGACAGCAGTGTCTTTTAAGAGAAACGAACGAACAAGACAAGCAGAAGAGCAGACGTTGGGAAAATGTTCTATTCATGATTTTAAGTCTCGGCGCATACCTCGCACACTCCCTTATCCTCTCGAGCAAACCTGTTATCGGCTTATCCAATGCCCCGCATGCTTTTCAAAGTGCTAAATTGGATTGAAAACTGCATACATCTGCCCACAGTGAAATCAGTTTAGCTTCACGAGGATTTAATCACTGGCAATCGTATAAAGCCGCGTACTCTTGGCTTGATCACATTGTCTCATTATAGGGTGATTTAGCGATGTTTAAAAGAAGTTCTGCATAGGCGCGACCGGTTGTCATTCGCATCAGAATTTGTTGTTTCTACAATTTTAGTTAAGAAGCTCATTTTAGTTGCGCACCGCTGGCTAAGTTTTTTGAAAGTCCTTTTTTTTCTGTGCAGGGAGAAGTAATTCGATAAAAAACAAGTCGAATTACTATGCAGTACTACTATGGAAAGGAGACAGTGAAAAAAAGTTTTAATGAATTTATGCTAATGAATGAAGTTTTACTTCAATTGCATCATTCCGTTTTCATTCTTTGAAATGTTTTAATAAGTGAAATACCGATGTTAGAAAGTCATCTAATGTTTATGAAAATTAGCGTTATAGAAAAAGGAAAAGCAGTAAGATCGCCATAAAACGCGGTGATTCCGCTTGTGAATAAAAAAGGCTTTCGTTTAAAAACTTCTAGGGTCTTTGAAAATGAGGCAATTAATCGGCAATTCGCCTAAGTTAATGCGTATAGAAATAACTGCTTATATCTTACGTCATCACCTATATTAGAATGCAAATATTGCTGTAATTGTGGGTTAATAACATATTAGCTCTGTGAAATAGGAATCAGGATCTGTAAGACAGTGTGACAGAAAAGTGAATTCGCGAGAACGCGTGAAGGTTTCCTAGCCCTCTCAATAGTTAGCAGATAGTGAGCAGATAACTGAACTCTTATTTTGCTCTGGAGCCTTCTACGTACAATAGATCTGACGGCAAGACGTTACCAGAGTTATTTTTTGATCCCACTTAAACTAAGTGAGCATTTACACAATTCCGATTCGTACCAATGTAATTTTTGATATATTGGGATCTCGGACTGAAGAACGTTTTAAAAAAAGAAATACATTGTTCAAACCACCTTGAAGACCAAGTGATCAATTCGTTTCTCAGTTTGCAAATTTTTAAGATATTTCCTTGCGGCCTAAACAAATCTGGAGATGTGTGGGAAGGAATTTTCCTCTAGAAAGACCACTCGCCTTGTTAGTTCCAAACGTGAAAACACCACCGAAAATTGATATAGCTAATCTCGCAATTAAAAGGCGCGGAAAAATTCCTTCAAAATGAAAACAATTTAATGGAGACATCTATGATACTTACCAAAAACTATGAATTTCTAATTGTTTTTAGCTTTCTTCCCCTAAGTGCAAGCTAAAATTTCAAGAAGCGAATTTCCTTTCATCTCGCTATGACTACTCAATATGCATTCTTTCGTTGATGAGGTAACACGAGATTGTCAAAAAAAGACTTTATTTGGCTAACGTTTCAGCTTCTGCCTCAGATGCCAACTGTTACGAGACAATTGTCCACAGCTCTTCATTCTTCGGATGTGCTCGAATGAAGAACTTCACTCAACAGTGCTTGCTTCTACAGGACAATTGTTGTTTGATACTTGATAAAGACTTGCTTTTGCTGTGGACAATAGTTAGCTTATCAAGGAAAGAATACATACAAGAATGCATATGTTAGTTGAAAGTTTTAACGATTTTAGGTGCTCGCTATATTAGTTTGAGTTATTAAAGATGACGGTGAAAAAAATTTTTACCTTATTAAATGGATCTGATGCCGGTGAAGTTGTATACAGCAGCAATTCATGAAACAAGAGAATTAGAAGACAACGGCACTCATTCAGTTCGGGTTCCGGTAGGCAAAGTGATAGCTTAAATAATCTGCGTAACATTGCTGAAAAATGGCGAGGAAGAGCGTTGTGTAAAGAGGCGATAGTACTGACGAAAAGTAAAGTTTTATAATATCAGGTATATACTAAGCAGATAACACCTCTGAAAATGCGATTACTGATCAAAGGAAGCTCCATAGTTTCCTCTCGACTTCTCGTTGATGAAAACACTAGTAAAACATATCATACAATATTTAACTGTATTTCCAATAGTTCGCTGCACCTACTACAGTGACCACAAGAAGGACCAACGATAGCGAACACGTTGATGAAAACACTAGTAAAACATATCTAAGGTTAAAAATCGAATGAAGCGGTATATTACGGAGCAAAGCAAAACCCAAGCTGTAGTAAAAAAAAAAGTGTGTAAAATAGTACAAACCTCTAAAAAGAGTATATTCTTTAAAATTATCCTTTAAAAATAGTATGTAAAATAACGTGCTTTCACGACACAAATGCAACATTTTCTGTTTAACATATTGTTATGTATCCATGAATGTAACTATTCAAAACAACGACCTTGGTGGCCTTCCTTTATTTTTTATCAAGCTGTTCAAGAAAACCAGAAAATTTTAGGAGGATGTCATTTAGTCCTACAAAACACTGCTCACAGTCTACAAATTGATTGTTATGGTAACTTGTATTTCCACTAGGATTGAGATCTTTGAAAGACTCGCCAATCGAGATTTTAGCAATGTGTGGACGCCTTTGAAGCGAAATTTCCTACGCGGAGCTTTATTCTGTTTCATGAAATGTATTTTACTGTGCTTTGCAAGCCTCATCACGCTAATAGAATACTTCCTTGTATTTTTCTTAGCTTTAGTTTTGGTAAAAAAGGTTCTAGTAAAAAAGTCATGGTTTCCTT